CAACAAGGTCTTTTTGGTTGCATCTTTTGAATATGATGGTCAATCATTTCAACGAGGTCTTTTCTTTCGAGCCAGTCTTTCAGATACAAAACAGACTTTCCATTATCCTCAATAGAATCTTCGGTCCATTGCTCGACAAATTCGGTAACAGACATCTCTAATCTTTTCTGATCTGTATATTCTCTTGTATCACAATCTGAAACCTGTAAATAACCAACACCAATATCAATGAACAAGTGAGAAAGAGTCTACATTACACAATTCATTCCCAAAACCTAGCCAGAGAAATTGGTAACCAGTAAATGCTCATTTTGATCATTTCCTTAACAATTTGGATATGGAAGCTAAGGAAAGCAACAATATTCTCATGAAAGCAACACAAAGACACAAACACTGAAGACCTTTTTCTGCAATTAGACAAGGCTCAAAAAACCATAAATTTTACCTGAACTCTGGATTTTCCGAAGTGAGTGGCAAAGAAGTGGAGATTAGGGAGTCCATTCTCACCGAACCAGTCTTCACGAGCTCGCCAATCTTCAGTGAGATCGGAGATTACCACCGGCTGGTTCTTGGCCAAGTATCTCTCCGCAAAATCGCCGTAACTCAACTCTTTACCATTTGATTTTCTCGATTTGACCAACAATTTCTACACCCATTTCCCCACACTCAGGTTTTTCGAGAATCTCCTTCGCTCCCAAAGGCCTGCCTCTAGTGAGAAAGAAAATCTCCGATCAAGTCGCCGGTGAAGTTAATGCAAATAGGGTTCAGGCCAATGAATAAATGACAACATGTGAAGAAGACGAGAAAGACTTCATAAATAAAACGCTGCGTTTTAAGAAAAAACTCGAGAGAGATTTCTTGTTCTAAAAATAATAAAATAAGAGTCCGAAATTGGTATCTTCGGCCCATTAATAGGCTTGATGATAGGCCCACTAGTAGCTAAGTGTAGATAAAACGGTGCGTTCTAGACGCGGAAGATGAGAAATGCCGTTTTTGTAAATAATGCTTTATGAAGCTCAAATGGCGGGTAAAAACTTCCATTGATTCAACTCAAAGCTTCTCTCTTTCTCTAATGCTGGTCTCTTGTGTTTAAACACAAAATTTTTAGGGGAAATTTGTATCTGAGGATTGTATTGCATCTTTATGCTATAATAACTTGCAGTATTATGTTTTCACATTCTCATTCTTCATATGATTTTTTTATGTTGCAGTGAATGTTAGTGATACGATTATGATTGCTCTGGATTAGAAACCTTCTGTAATTAAATTATTCTAGGGCATTCTCTTCTCATGTATAAATAACCTTGTACAACAACTCTTGTGATATATAGAAAATACATTCTCTACATGGTATCAGAGCAATCACAATATTGAGATTAATGAGAGAATCATAATCGTATCACTAACAGTGAAGAACCTTGAAATTCTAAAACATCAATAGACCTAAGGTTTTAGATCGAATGTGTTGTGCATACCATAACACTATCTTCAACATTACTTAGCGAGTTCATTCAATAAATAAATCACTAAAAAATTCAATTGCAATTTATGTCTTTACCATTTTTACATAAACACATTAGTTTACATCAGTCCAACGAGAAATGCACAAACAAATGGCTTGCCATAATTGCATTTGGTCAATTAA